TTTTTTTTCTGAAAACTGTATTAAATTTTAATTCTTATTCGAACATGTAAAATTTTATAGATATTGCCGGGATCTGGTTGCCAAACCGTTGTGGCCTTTGTCAATTGGGCGGCCATCTAAAGCAGATATTCCCAGATGCAGCTACTGTAAAGGCCCTCTTTCCTTTGAATTTCAGGTAGTGCTCTAATCTTCTATCATAAGGCTCTGCCAAATCTTTTCTATTGTTTTAGTATGCGTGAACTTTGTGCAATTAGAAGGCAAAGTTAGATACTTCTTAATTTAAAAAATCTTCTATTTTCATTGGAGATGGTATTTTTTTTTTCTCACGACGTATTGAACTTATTTTTGTACTTTTTATGGGGAAAATGGTAAGTTTATAGCAAAATGCCTCACTTAAACCCTCAAGTTTTTTAATCTTGCTTGCACGTCTTGCTAGTCATGTTCAAAATAGTGCTAATCTTTATATATGTAAATATATACAGATTAGACCCCTGGGGTCGAGGGTTCAATCCCACTAGTGTGCGGATCTATCAAGTGGTTAGGCACATGAGGTTGGTTAGGGGCTTGTATCATAGCCTCTGACCAATCTTTTTTTGATATATATATATATACATATATCTATTAAAGTGCCAATACATGGGCCCATTAATTTCAGAGTATATAAAAGTGTCAAATTAGTCCATAGACTCTTTAAATATGGAAAATCTGGATTGAAATAAAGAACTATTTTAACTCTCACTAAAACAATGTTGGGACTAAATTAACACTATTGAGACTCTGGTACTAAATTTGCCCTACAGAGTCAAAGGAACATTTTGACACCCCTCTCTCTCTCTCTCTCTCTTTATATATATATATATAGCTAAGGTTCCTAATGTTCCTAATGTTCCTAATGTTCCTAATGTTCCTAATGTTCCTAATGTTCCTAATGTTCCTAATGTTCCTAATGTTCCTAATGTTCCTAATGTTCCTAATGTTCCTAATGTTCCTAATGTTTCTTAATTATATGGCTGTCATCTAAAAAAGTTCATTTGGCTTGATTTCAGATTATGCCTCAGTTGCTCTTCTATTTCGGCGTAAATAATTATCCTGATTCCCTTGATTGGGGAACTATTGCCGCGTACACTTGTTTGGCTTCGTGCGATGCTAGCATAAGCTATATGGAGGAATTTGCATGGGTTCAGCTATATCCTACCGCAACAGTAGTATAATTCATTAGGGGCTAACCCAGGTTTGAATTCATAACTCAATTTCTCGAGTCCATGGTTCGTTTATTGAGACATTGTGACATGGCAGTCATTTAATCATTATTATTAAATATATAAATAGTCAAGAATTGTCATGTATATTATTGTTTTCTGCTGTGATTAATTGATTGCCACTTCTTTATTTTTTATTTTTTTGCTTTGCAGAATTATTCTGCTTATTACTTCTTGCAATACGAGCCGTGCAGTCGCCCCTGTGCTTCTACGGACAATCTGATTCATTTTAACAGCCGTTTTTGCTGCATCTTAAGGGTGGTGGTTGTTTTAAATGCTATATTAGATAGCGATGCTATTTAAATAATTGTATTATTCAAATAAAGTTTTTTTTTTTAATGAACTTTGCTTGTTGTAATATTATTTTATTAAAATAGTGCAGTGTTATCTTAAAATATCAAATGGGGATTAGGATTATTTATGCGGGCATTTACGGAAAAAAATTGCGTGCGATATACATACGCAGCGCTGCGCACGATATTGGGGTTATATCGAGGGTATAAGGGGGTTATATCTGCAGTATAACCCCTTGTAACCTACCTGTAACCTCAAATAAGTTTCGCGCTTCTGTTATCATATATTAAGAATTTATTAGTAGG